CCTGCATGCTTTCCTGCCTGTGGCAGGGGGTCAGGCTAGATGATCTGTTCAGGTCCCTCCTGCCCCTAGCTACTATGAAACTGAAACTATGAAGTGGCTCGGCTGAGGCAGCTCCTCCTGCTGTTGTTCCTCAGTCCGCTGAGGAGGGAGATAAGGCAGCATCCTCACCCTCAACCCAGAAGCGGGTGAGTAGCATAGTGTGGGAGCATTTTGAGCTGGCAGATGATCCCAGATTTGCTATCCGCCAGCACAGCCGAAGGCAGATCAGCTGGGGCAAGGAGGTGAAACACTTCACCACTATGGCGATGCTGTTGCATCTCAGGAGGCAGCACCCCCTTGCCCTTCTTCCTGCTCAGCCTGGCACCAGTATGAGCATGCCCAAAGGGAAGTCCTCCACTCGCTTCAAAGCCCCTGTCCCCCCAAAGCAGTGGCAGGCCACCCTGGAACAGTGGAAGAAAGCTGCAGACAGAGTGCGGTGCATTCCCAAGGCGAGCGAGATCAACCAAACAACTGGGGAGATGCTTGCTCTGGATAGCCAGCCCCTTTCCCTAGTTGAGCAGCCAGGGTTCAGGCGGCTCATGGCGCTTGTGTTTCCATTTTATTAAGTGTCCACACACACCACCCTTAGCAAGACAGTGGTGCCCTCCCTGTATGAGGCATGCAAGGAGTACTTGAGGGAGGAGCTGTGCAAGGCAGGGCGGCAGGTAGCCTTACACTTCACCTCCGACATCTGGAGCAGCTGGGGTGGTGATCATGCCTACCTCTCCCTCACAGGGCACTGGTGCGATCAGTCAGGCCATTGGTGGGCTCTCCTCCAAGCCGAGGTGCTGGATGAGTCCCACACAGCAAGGGAGATCATGGTGGCCATGCACCGCATGGTGCAGGGGTGACTCATTGGGCAGGCCAAGCTCACCCACGGGTTCATGGTCACCAACAACAGGGCCAATATGGTCAAGGCTGTCCATGATGCCAACTTTGTTGGCATCTGCTGTGTGGCACATGGGCTGCACCTCATAGTGAGGGATGCCTTGGAGGGGGACAGGGCTGCCGGTCACAGTGCCACCACCACTACTGCTACAAGCCAGCTGATTTCAAAATGCAGGAAGGTGGCAGGCTACTTCCACCATAGCATCAAGGCGGGCAAGGTGATGTGGGAGCAACAGGCAAACTGAGCATCCCGCAGCACAAAATCAGGCAGGATGTGGAGACTCTGTGGAACTCCACATACCTGATGCTCAAAAAGCTGGTGGAGCAACAGAAGGCCATCCATAAGATGGCCTTGCTTGGGGAGATTGGGATCAGCGGCCCCCTGAACAGAGCTGAGTGGGGTACCATCTCCCAGATCTTGGTGGTCCTCAAGCCCTTCCTCGAGGCCACTGAGACCCTTAGCGCTGGAAATGCCCTCCTTAGCCAGGTGATCCCTGTAGTGAGGGAACTTGAGAACCAAATGGAGAAGTTCCAGGGGATCGATGTTCCTTGCTGAGGCAGACTGCTGTCACCAGACGTGCAGGCACTGGTGAGGCGGCTGAAGGAGGGCATCAGGAGACAGCTGGATCCCTTGTGGTCCAGTACAGTCCACATGCTGATGGGCATGTGCGACCCAAGGGTGAAGGGGAGCAAGTGCACTGGCAGTACCAAAACCCTCGCTCACTGGACACAGGTGCTGGTCAACAAAATTAGGGAGGCCAAAGTGCAGAGGTGAGGGAATGTGGAAGAGGGGGATCCACTTTCCCGTGCCAGCAGTCCCAGCACCACCACCAGCACTGCCACTGGCACCAGCACCAGCCAGTCTCCTCCACACCAGCTACTGCCAATGTGGGCCAAGGGCATGGCTTCAA